ACCTAAAAGAGCAGCTTGAACTGGAGGCCCACAGCTCACATGTTGAATGATGCTTTTAGCACCATGTGGGCATATGGACAGATAGGTTGTGTTAGCAAAACCAGAATCCCAGAGCTGTCTTTGCCACAGAAAGCCAGCTGTAGAGAAAAGGATGTAGAAAATCTCCCATTGTAATATTTCATGGAGGAACTAGAAGTCTGACTGTTCTCCAGTCCCACTGATCCTCCTGACCTGACCCGAATCATAAAGCAACTGGATTCACTTTGGAGCATGCCCTGCCCTCACTTACCTTGGCATCAGTGGAACTGGACTAGAAAAGAAAAGTATAGGGGTAGGTCCCATAGAAAAGTCAGGTCTCCAAAAGAGCAGTTCTGCAAGAAGACCTGTGCTACATGGCATGGGTTTCTGCACTGTGGAAATAAACTCGTAGGAAATGTGAAAACAAGGCTGATAATTGAATAGCCTTGTAGTCAGCGTACTTCCCAGGAAAGCAAAAATCCAAACACAAACCAGCCTTTCAAGCAGGAGGCTGTAACCTATGTCTCATACTTTGCAAGAGTGACTCGACCACCCACCAGTAGACTGGGGGGTAAAATGTATGTTAAGAGGGACAGAAATGCAGGGGACCAGATGCTGACAATTGCAGGGTGCTTTATCCTGTACTTCTGGAGGACAGGCCTGCATGGCCAGACCTTACCCAATGGCTCTCCAATGCGAAGTATGAGCAGCCCTCATTCGTTTTGGGCTGTGCTCCTTTACACAAACCTGCCTCCCCCTCCCCACTCTTCCTCTCACTGACACCCAAAGGCAGTTCTGCTGTATGTCACAAGGCACTGCAAAGGACAGTGCCACTTTTCAGCAATTAGCATTTGTGCTCACAAACTCTACCACTTGTCTCTCCTGGTGCTCACTTTCCTTCTGTGAATGTAAAATACTATCTCAGTGACAGACACCTCCATGGAAATGCACACACATGAACTCCCAATTAAGGGATTACTGCTGCAAAACATAAGAGACTCTCAGGAAAGAACACAAACAGCAGTCATATTAATAATCAATTAGATGGAGCTGCCTATTTGTAGCAATAATTTGCCTTAGCTTCCACCAGCCTTTGCCTGGTCAAGACTAGTTGAATAAAGTTTGTGTCACAGTCATCTTGACTCTGCAAAACACCCTCTTCTGCCTCTTGACTCAGTCATTCTTTCCCCCTTGTTCTAGTTCCTAATTAAAGTCATGAATGTGGATAAATATGACATACAGTTTTAAACCCAACTGGGTCACTAAACTGTACACTACACCCTGTTCTGCAATTAAATTACTGTGTGAAACTCCTCAATTAAAATTAAAGAAGCAATTACCCCCCTGTTAAAGGCACTACAAATCACACATTTCAATGCAAAAGTTCATCTGGCAGCTTATGGCATATTAACGAATCTTACATCTCATTTGTGTTTTGATCTATAACCTACCCAAATGAGCTAATTTGATGTGACTCAGTGTCTCCAAATATATTTTATCATGTGCAATACGATGCCGGTGTCTTTCAAAGAACAAGTTAAATGAGCTAAGGGGTTCATTGCTAACAACTCAGCCATTACTGTTGGAGCGTCACTGAATGGGATCCTTCCTGCCTTCTCAGGTTAGGTTTAGAAAATTGCACATAGACAGCAGAGTGGGACTGAAATGCAAGTTTCTCTTCATGCTGGGGAGCTGCAACTCTCTGATTTCCACTGAGCGTGAGGCTGACGGGTCAGACTGCTGATCTCACCACCTCACCCTACTTCTCCCCTACTGGGGGAAAGCAGAAGGCAGAGAAGCATAGAGCTAGGGCAGGGTGCTGTTTGTTTTTATGTCCACTCATTTTTTTTATCTTTTTGTCACTGCAAGAACATGTGAGCTTGCCCCTTTTCCCCCTCAGCTACATGCAAAAACCTTGTGTAACAATGCCTGTGCTGGTCCTTCTGCTGCTTGCCTAGGCCATGCATTGGATCAGCGCAAACATTTACCTGGGTGGTTCAGAACCTGTTGGTTTGTTCAGCTTGATATTGGCTATAAACCTGGGAGTGGGGAGGGATGCCCTGGTGCAGCTGACACCCACACTGTTCGGGGCTGGTGGGCAGGGGTGTATGACAACAGAGAAGCTGATACGGTTTTTCCAGAGACCATGGAAACCCTTGGTTCCTTACATTGTCCCAAGGGAACAAGGAGATGTACTTTGATTTGACCTCAGGCCCTGAGGCTGGTGTATATTTATACATCTGTTTGTATTTGGATTTTGACTTTTTTTCATAGTGCCCATGACCTGAGCCTGCTTTAATGCTTGTCATGTACTAGTGGATCTGAGGGACTGGTTAAGTGTTGCTTTCAAAGCTTTGCCTGCCCATCTCTGTCTTTGTCCTTCTTGCCCTCTGGAGAAGCTGTATGTTGCTGTGTGGTTCAGCTTTTCAGTACTCCTAAGATCTGCTCTAGCACTGATCCATAAGAGCGTGACACAGTTAATTGCAATTAAATATGCTGGGAATGATAAGCCTGAATTCCCCAGATACTGAAAAGAGGACAGAATTTATCCCTTAGCACGCTTGTTCTCACTACTTTGAAATACCAGGAAAAAAAGAAAAACAAACTAAACACCCAACAGAGAATGAAGGGGGAGAATGGAATCAAAGAGAAAAAGCAAGTGAAAGACATTGTGACTCTGGACTCCGGCATGTGCAACATTACACTGAAGGCGCATTTTGTACAGTCTCACAGTGTGAGCTTCTCTTCATCTGTTTTGGTGTTAAATACAGTGGCTCCTTCAGAAACCAGTAAGTAAGAAAAATATCTGACACAAAACACAATTTCCAGAGTGTGAAGAAGCACACTCTGCTCACCAAAGCATTTGGAAATGCTGCTCACAGCTGTAGCATGTGCATTACCCTACTCTACTTGGAATCAAAGCAGTGTTTCAACAAAGATGGAAAACAGCCTCAGACTGCTGTCTGCCTTCTCCCAAGCACTTCTTATAGTTACCTTCTTATAGTACTGTCAGAAACTTCTCCAAACAAATAAATGAAGTCTTAAACAAAAAACTCATTCATCTTTAAATTAAAATAATCATGTCATCCTTCAACCCACCAAGTTATCTTTCATATCTTCTTTTTTTTTTTTTCTTAAATTTATCTTACTAGCTTCAGCAAGTGGCTGTAATAAAATGTCACATTAAGGTATTCATATTCATTAGTGTTCAGGTCTTTGTTCTTTTAATAGTGTTGGAAAGAATCTACAAAGAGGCTGTATTAGGCAGCTGTCCAATCTGGGTGTTTGATCTCTTTCTGACTTCAAAAGTCAGAAGAGGAAAAAAACCCACATTGAGAATGGTTCTTTTGAATGTCAGATAGGGAGTATAAGATTTCTGAGCCTGCCAAGTGTTAATTGGTGTCTGCCCTGACCATGGTACAAATCAGATTCAGAGTCACTCAATGCACCATCATGAAGAGCTATTGACAGAGTGAGCAGGATACTGGAAGGCAGGAAAAAGCACAACTGTTATGGCAGCAGCTCACAGAGGATTTTTTCAGAGATCACTTTCCACAAATCATGTTAAATTATGCAGTTTGGGTCTCAGCCACACGACTGGGTATAACAGACCTTTCTGAGGGAACAATTGGCCCAGCTGCTGAAATTCCAGAGCTGCTTGTAACACCGCATAAAAAAGAACCAACCCGCCAGCATTAATCTCTGTTTCTAGCAAACGTAATGAAGTTCCTCAGTACTACCCTGCACTGCCTGAATGACACATCCCAGTGCAAAAACTCCTGTCATGGTACAACAAGAAGTTGATTTGATGCAAAGAAACATCAGAAAGGAAAATAAAAACCTGCTGCTAATTTCCTGACAAAATCCAACTGATTAATATTACCATTGTCAGCAAGTTGGCTCGGCAGACCTAAACACTCTTTACAGTTTGAGACATCTTAATGGGGAAAGAAAACAGCCTACAGATCAAGAAAGTGAGAAAAATCTTCTGTGCTAATTATTCATTCTGATGTTTGTGGACACATTTCTGCAATTCTGATTAAATCTAAACTTGGGTTAGATGGGGAGATAACACTTTAAGCTTCATCTCCTGAGAAATCAGCCATCAGTGCTGAGTGACAACCACTTTGCTACTTAGCCATGACAGTCTGACTTATCCTAATGCAAATTGGCAACAGTTTCTTCTGTGCGTGGTAGAGGAAAACCGGAGAGAATTCAGATAGGGGAATTACCGTCATTAGCAATCAATTTTTCTCATAACAGCCACAGTGGATTTAGGATCTCAGAGGCCTTCGTGTGACTCAGGGACCCCCCTTCCATGAGCTGTGAGTCTGAAGCTGGAGGCACTGCTGCACTTAGGGAAGCTGCTGCTCACTGCTGCTGTCAGGCACAGATTGTGGCTCCTGCCGGGGGAGAACAGGCTACCCACTCTGGGTTTGCTTAAAAGCCAGTAGGAAAAACAGCTAATGCCCTGAAGATGGCTTATTAGGCAAATACATCCTCTACTTTCCCAAACCTTGTGCTGCTTTACCTGGGAGCCTGTATTGTACCACATCCTCTCATGCCAAGTTGGCAGGGTGGTGCATACATATGTGAGTGGAATGGCAAACTAAAAATTAAAACATCTTTGAAAGGTGCTCCTCAGAAGAAGCGATTTTTTTTTTCTTTAAAAGCAAAATGAAAGCTAACAGGCTGGTATGAATATGTTCCCCCAGCTATGTGTCCTCTGGATGCCAGATATAGTTGTGATTTTTCAAAGGGAAGAAAAAACTGAAACCAAACCACCTGCAGCTCTGCCCAGCAAGGCACCACAACCCAAAGCCATTAATCAGGTCCCAATCAATCTTGCCTATGAGCAGCAGTCAGTCAGCTTTCCATTAGCACCCATTCATCACACCCTGCTGTAAGTCACTGCACCATTAGCCACCCATCAGGTCTTACTTAAGGATGTCCCAGTGCCAGACACTGCTGCTGTTGCTCACCTCAGCTGCTGGGATGCCTTCAGGGGGACGGCACTGGAGCAGGACCTCTTGCTCCAGGGACACTTCTTTCCCTAAGGGCTCCTGCTCAAAAGTTTTCCGGAGATCTGAGAAGGGAGAAGAAAATAAAATAATTAACATTATTATCAGCCAGTCCTTTGTATTATATTTGGTTGCCATACTGGTTATATGCAAGAGACAAAGAAAATAGCAATTCTGCTCCCTGTAAAATAAAACATTAAAAAAAACCTGGGTCACATTTTCACTTCATTCCAACTTTAAGCAAAGATTTCATGGGGGTTTAATACTAATATTGTAGTACAGCCTGTGAACCCAGTGAGCAACCAAGGCTTCCTGTGGAAGGTCATGTCCAGACACAGAACAAAAAGGGAAACCAGTCCCTTCCTAAGATAATTTTCATTTGGTAAACTATACCAGTGAAGTACTAAACAAAGTTATGGAAAATTAAATAAATCTGTAAAACTACAGCATATAAACTGAGTTGCCTTAAACTCATAGATGAAAGTGCTCATGCTGTGATTTAATGTACTTTTAGCTCATAAGCATTAAGTTTACAGCTTTAGCAAATTTGTCTACACCTCATTATTATCCCTGTAGCACTAAGTTATTATTATTTTTAATAATAATGTAGTAATGACAATGATAATAATAAAAAGTAACTTCAAGGAGTTGAACCATGTTTGGATCCCTCCACAGCACCACAGAAATGTGTCAGACTGACAGGGCATCAAATGCACCTCCAAAGATCAGACCAGTTCATTGTACTGGACAGCTGCAAAGTCTGGCTTTTTTGTATTCTTTCATAATGTCTTTGCACTGATGGTCAAATAGACTTGAGAAGTTCCCTCCTTATCACTATCCCCGTGTTTTTGCCATGGACTGCAACCCTCTCCTCTGTGCCAGGGAGGATGTGGCTTTGGAGAACTGAGCATTCAGCCCTAGCAGCTACTGGGGATATTTCTCCCTACTGCCAGTTCCTTCTGCAAATGTATGTGAAACCATAATCAAAGTGACATCAAAGAGCTGGCCTGACTTCAAAAACTTTAAAACTCAGTTATTTTTGTTTTACTTCTTGTTCTGAAGTCAAACCATTTCTGTACATCAGCTCAGGGTGAGGTTGCAAAAATACTTGTGTCATACTGGCAACAAGACACAGTCATATGGGATCAATTGAAAAGACAGATATTTCATATTTTGAAGCCATAACCTATGACTGGGCTGGAAAACAAATCACTGAATTGAACCAGTTTACAAATAAACCATGCAAAGAGTTATTTTTTCCTAGATTACCTCCAAGACCTGATTAACAGCTGACCCATGAGGGACTGCATCAATGCTACCAAAAGGCAAAACCTTGGGCTGGAAAATGCAGAGATGGAAAAGGAGATGGGGTGGCTGCCACCAAAATCAACTCCTCTGATACTCTGAAACTTTGAATAGCATGAGACCTCTATCTGCTACCCTATATTGGGAAAATATGACTGTTCAAGTACCTGGAATTCAGTATCAGTTCAATGAAAAAGCTCTGTCATAGCTGAAGATGCTAATTTTAACTTGATATAGTGGCAAACTTCTGACATCCAAGCATTTCCCCAGTGAAACTGTGTCCTTCCTCTGCACCACAGGCATGAGAGAAGCAGCCCCACACTCTGCTGCTATCCCACCAGCAGCATTCTTGCTCCCTCTGGCACACAGGGCAGGGATACTGAGAGCCGCTCTGATGGGACAAGATTTATGGCCACAGTTTAGGGCACCAAAAGATAAGCTTTGGTACATCCTACTGCAGCAATGTAAGAAATTGCTATCTCCAGCTCTGCTTGGCTGGGATTACCTTCTGTCAAAAGGAAGCACATGCCAATGTCACAGCTCCCTCACTACAAACCCCAATGTCACAGCTCCCTCACTACAAACCCCAATGTCGCAGCTCCCTCACTGCAAACCCCAGTGTCACAGCTCCCTCACTACAAACCCCACCATTCCAACCCCAGCTGTTGCTGAAGGGGGCTTTACCGTACAACACTGGATAACTTAGGGCAAAGAGGAGGAGTAAAAATCTGGACATGAACGTTACTTAGGATGACATGCCAAGTTTCGCCAGGCTGTGCATACCAGCATCCCTGTCACACTGGAGTTATTCTAAGCCAGTGAGGCTCATTCATGGGACAGCAAGCACAGCAAGTCTCTGATGTCCCTACAGAGTTCCCAATGCACTGCCAGCACCAGCAGCGTCATCCCACCCTGACAGGCCACCCAGTGGACATTTGTGTTCTGTGGTTCCACTTGAGTAAATCTTAAACCCTCCAGGTGCCCATGGGTGGGAGTCATTCCAAGGACAAAATGCTGAGTTTTTGGCTTGCTGCTCTTCTGCACATTAAACATGGAAATGAGCAGCTCTTTCAGGAGCTGGTAGGTTTCTTGGGAAGTTACACTCTTCTTTGGGCCCAAGCTCCTCACCCATCCTGTGGGCTTGATAGGTATCCTGGGCACACATAACGTCAGGATAATGCAGTTTGCTTCAAATTAGCAAACAGCTGGGGCTATATTGCTAGCAGTACCCATAAGATCACATTATTGCTAGTTCCACAGATATCTTCAGAAGAAAAGGTTTACTTCTATACCTTACTGCATTTAGCAGGTACACACATGTGCACAATGCAATTATTGTGTTCTAATATCAAGGTTGAGGGAAAAGGAGAGAGTTACTGTAATAGTAATAGAAGCATATAAGCACAGTATTAAATAGCATATTAATAATAACTTTCAGATGCTCAGGCTGAAGACAGTAGAGGGAGATTAGATAATAATCTGAATATTTTTCTTGACATGTTGATTTACTATCCTACCTACCTTCCTGAAATATTTAACAGAGCTCTAGTTCTACACTGCCTAATGTGCACAATAATCACCTCTCCCATAAAGCACTTGCCTTTAGAAAAATCCCCAAGTTTTAGCTGCATGCAAAAGTAAATAGCATTAATTTAGAAACATGTAATAACAGTAAAAAAGTCTTCCTTTACTATCTTTGTCACCAACAGCTGGAATTGCTGGGTATGAACAGTCCCTTTTCACTAGGAGCAGTTGCAGTGGTGCTGCTGCAGGTGAGACGAACTCTGGGACCCCTGCTCTCCTGGCTGCCTCATCCACAGGGCCTTGTTGTGGGAGAATGCTCTAATGGCACTGTTAGGTTCAAGCATTTCAATGATCCACAAACTAAAAATACACTAAGTAGGCCCTTTGACATAATAGGCAGTAATGTTCTCAAAGGAGCCATTAGATACTATTGAGTAAATTATACTAATTTGACAGGGGTGAAGGTACATAATTGTGTATTTACAAGACTGGGAGCTCTTATATCCTGCTGGCTCCCTCCCACGTGTTCACAGCTTTATCCCACCACCTCCCACAGCAGCTATGTCACCTACAAATGGCTCCAGATGGCAACAGTGCAAGACACTTATGGTAAGTTGATCTAACCAAGCATAAGGTTGGCTGGTTGTGACATACACAAGATGGGTTTTTAACTGATGATGAAGCAAAGGGCCTGGACAAACATCTTCCTCATCTGTAACTGTCATGAAACCCTGCTTGGACAGCACTGGGTTTTGAAATGTCTGCTTTGTCTCTATGGCTCTTGCTCTGATTTCTGTGGATAACAATGACACCCTTCTAATTCTCCAATCTTCAGCTTCCTTTGCCATTTAACAATTATAGTCACTGTCAGCTAGGAGTGGGTGGGCTGGCTAATGTAATGAGGGACTTTGGACCTTTCCCAAGCAGAGTATTTTCAATAACACTTTTCAATTTCTCAAAGTGTCATATAAGTTACAATTACTTGTGAGTGAGGACAGAAGGGATTCATTTTCCCAGAGAATGGTAAGAGACTAATAAAATACATCCCAAAGAAGCTTTAACAATCTTCAAAAAATATGCTGGAAAAGCAAATCAATAAAACATTTGATCCATTCTGGATCAGGACCTCTCTGTCTATGAAGAGGCAGTGTGCATTATTAAAGTCTCCGGTGCGCAGCAGCCCTGTTACTGAGATGCTGAGAGAGCACCTTCCCTACCCTTACCTTCCATAGGGGGGACAAGAGAGAAAGGCAGCTGTACTTTCTTTCCATTATTAGTTTGGTAATGTAGAATAACCCTATATTGCTGGTGTTAGCAATACCCTTCCTCCCCTTCTCCAGGTAATATTCCCCATAGTGGAATGAGCTGGGGTGGACAGTGGCACTGAAGGGCCCATCCTGTCTTTCACCAGCTCTCTCACTAGAGGGATGTCACTGCCAGCACAGGTAACAACCTCCACCCCCACCAGGTGCTTTACCCCACCTCTACCTTCCTTTCAAGGCTGTCTTCATAAAAGAAACCAAAGGCAGCAATTAAAATTCTGGTCTGCCACCCTGAGCCAGACTATTTTCCTTTCTAAAGCACAGTCCTAGTAAATTCAGAGGGGGCTCTTGTGGCATACATCACAGCACGTTTACAGCATACTTATCCTGAGACTTCCCTCCAAGACTCCTGAAATACTCTGCACAACCCTCTCTGGTAAGGACATATGACTGCATAAGAGCTGCATAGAAATAAGAGAATTTTCACAAGCATAAAACTGAAATAAAGTAATGGGAATTCAGACTCTCAGTGTACACCCTGTTGCTAACTTTACTTCTGAATTGCTATGCTTTTTGAACAAAGGGGCATTAGGTCTAATTTTTTATGCACTGCTAGATTACTTCATTATATGTTTAACACGTTTTTATCTTACAAAACACTCAGAAGTTTCATTTCTGCCTGAGAAAGGTAATAGATTATACAGGAAGTCATTTCCCCCTTCCTTTTCTACCTGTCAACTTCTAAGAAAGAGCGAAGAACAACCCTATTATTTTTTTTTAATCAAATATATTTTATCTCTTTGTTGTTCTGGGTTTTTGCTGCGATGTGTGGGTGGGTAAAACTATAAGGATATCTTTTATCATTGCTGAGAAATGTGATAAGAGGCAGACCAGGCACTTCAATGTGGTGCTAATGCAAGGGTGACTAATGAATGAGCATGAAAAACGGACACTTGTCAGCCAGGAATTAGATG